CGCCAAGAACGGGACCCTGATTGTCTTCGCCGTGAAGTAACCCATCTTTTCTATTATGGAAACTGTGGCTAGTAAATCCCTCTTTCTAAAATTAGATAAATGGGATGTAAAGGTAATTGAAAATTATAATGACTATGTTTATGACATTAAAGTCTGCCATTTATTAAGATGCAATATATATATATATATATATAAGAGTAGTGTAGGTATAATTCTATTTTTATTAAATTGTAAGTAAATGGAAACCGTGCCGCCATATTCAACTACCGTTTCGATGTGATCCGCAAGGGCGACCTCTGAAATGGGTTTCAACGTCAAGATCGAAATCCCCCTCCAGAACTTTCTGACAGGAACATGTACCATACTTCCGGCGACCGATTCTGGTATCAACAACACGATTACACTGTTGGCTCTGCTAAATTTCACCGATAGAATCTGGTCATGATGTGGGCGAGGCAACAACCTAACCACCGACTTTTGCACCGAGCTTAGCATCAAATGATTCTCCTTGTATTCTTCACATGTAGTTGACCGTTTTTTGTTTTAATTTTTTTGTTTAATTTTATAATAATATCTTCATAAATATCTATATAAAATTAATCTAATTATATATATATATATATCTAATATACATTTCATTACTGCATACTGCATATGATTAAAAATAAATAACTTTAAAATTAAAAATTAAATAAATAAATCTATACATAAATATTTACACAAATATATATACAAACATGTATGCATATATATATATATATAAATATACATACATACGTAATATATTTTATATAAAATAAGCTGAATATGAGTATTTTTGTTGGTTTAAACTCATGTGTTTTCATGTTGTAGATCTTTCTATGTACCATATACTTTAAATAGAATTAGTTTAATCAAATTAATAAATAAATCTATATATATATAAATAACCATCTCGATCTCACCCTTTCATACAATTTTCGAAAAGTTCATACTATTCTTGTTCATGTCCTATCCAACGACACAAAAAAATCAAATTGAATTATTTACTAAAAATAGATAATAATTGCTAATTAATATTTTTGGCTTCTGTTTTTTTCTAGTAGGCTAATGAATAGTTGTCCAATCGTTTGTTTTGTTTTTTCTTAAAAGTTTCTTATTTAATTACCATATATCAATGTGATTGAAGAACACATTCTGATGATCCGGGAAAAAAAAAACAAAATTGAATGAGAATACCAGAGATTCCAGAGAATACATTTATATACTTTTTCATAGCATGAATATATTACATGATGATGATATATATACTTTTTCACAGTGCAATCATTCATTTATTACAAATATGCAATCATGTAAATCAATATTGCACATTCTGCGAAAATAAAAAATAACATGGTACAACATAATTAGGAAATGATGAATGAGAATAAAAAAAATAATACAACGATTAAGTATAGATATTGAATGAAGAAAAAGACAATTGAAGTTTCCAAATAATATAATATAACAAATAATTTATCTATTGCAATGTGCTCAATTCGAAAGCAATAGATTATCATGTAGTCTGACAAAACCAAAATTCGAAAGCAATGACCATTTACCAGGGGAATTTTCCTTTCTGGTAATGGTAAAGATAAGCCATTTACCACAGAGACGGTGAAAGCGACGTAAAGCTTTCCCTCCTTCTCCTTTTGTGTCACCATCAAAGGAAGCTCCAACTTCTCCAAGTCTTCGCCTTACAAATCCAGTCTCATACTTAATAATAAAATCCATCGCTTTAGATGTTACCAATGATGCGATACTGAATACTGAATTCCGACTAAATGAAAATCAATGAGTTAGCTTTGCTTAGTGGTACTCTGTCAATATTCTACACTTCTTTCTCATATTTTTTTCAAAAATTAAAATCAATCAAACATTATAAAAAAGCTTCATTTCTAAACTTCTTCTCTTGTGTCAGTGTGTAAAAAATAAATCTGAATTTTTTCATCGAGCGGAAAAAAGAAAAAGAAAATGAGATTCAAGTCCAAAAGGTTTGGCGATGTACCTTCAATCTTCTACAATATCTTCTTGACTTTATGCTTATAGTCATCACAATATATGCTCACTTAATAAAATCTGCATGTACAAACATAAACCCATAACACAAGAATGAGGATTTAAATAAGAACACAGAAAAGAGAAATAAGAAAAAAAAAGGTTTTTCAACAAAAAAAAAATAAAAAAATGGCTTTGAAGAGAGAAATTTAGCAAATCGTGGATCTTCTCTGCCACCATACTCACTCCAAAAGCTTCAATCTACACAACCAAAGACCAAAAAATGCATTCATCAAAACATTCAGAACCGCACACAAAAAATAATTTTTTCCGCATATGCATGCATACATATATACACACACATAACAAATCTATAATGACTATGTTTATATACACATACAAATAATTGACCTTTGAGTGCATTAGTCACCGTTTTTGTTTTAATTTTTAACCCACTAAATATTAACTACGTAGATAAATGGGATGTAAAGGTAACTGAAAATTATAATGACTGTGTTTATGACATTAAAGTCTGCCATTTATTAAGATGCAATATATATATATATATATAGATATAAGAGTAGTGTAGGTATAATTCTATTTTTATTAAATTGTATTGATATAAAAACCACGTAACAGCATTTTAAAAACTTCCAATGAAGATTATAATAATATTCACACCCTAATTTTCCACTCTTCATTTCTCCATTTTATTTTGTAATAATCTATCGACATTTTTTATTTTTTTATATCATTAATCTTATACAATAGTATATTTTGTTCATTTTACTTGAATAAAATCATCAAGATAACTAATACATTTTAAATGTAAGTGTAATCAAATAAAAGTTTAAATTACCTATAAAACTAAAGTTACATTATTTTTTTAAATCTATATATATATTTTATATTATATGTCATAGAGCAATTAAAAAGTTTATTTAAACAATTAATATAAATAAATTTGTCACATTAATTAGTCAATTAATATAAAAATATTTGCCACATGGATGATGATGTGGATGATGAGGTGTCCTCACCAAATCTCTTTAAACTTCTTTATTAATATATATAGATTTTAAAATTTAAATTAAAGAAATTAAAAAGATTAAATTTTGGTAAATTTACAATAGATCTTTTATATTATATGAATTATAAATTTTCAAAAATATTGGAATAAAATAAAAATGTAATTTGACAACAAATATAATAATTTTTAATCACTATATATTTTTAAAAAACTAAAAAAACTTGTATAAAATACTATATTTTTTAATCAAAAGTTTTATTAAAATAAAGTTGACGTCGACTTGTATTACTCTTTAAAAATAATAATTGTTGTAATGTATTTTCTTTTAATTTTTACTTTCGTTTTTATAGAATTTAAAATTTTATATATTTTGAAAAATAGCAACTATTTTTGTAAAATTATAAGAAAAAAACAATAACTACTAATGCATATAAGTATTTTAAAATATTATATATATATATATATATAACGAACATGGCCTACCAAAATTATGAGACGTATTAATAAGAGGTGTGGAATAATTGATAGAGAGACTGTCCCGAATTTCGTTTTCATAAGCAGCTACGGTTTCTTAGACTTTGGGAACTACCAAAGTAAGTCCTTATAACACTAATTAAGTACGTAGGTCCATTTCATTTCATCTTTGGTTCGGTCCATTTCGGTATGCCATAAACCACGCCACTATTTTGCTTGGAAACCGATCGTACGTGAGAGCTTGGTATAAAAAAAATATTAAATTACGCACGTATCCAAGTCTAGCCCCCGAGAGAGTATATATATATACACACAAGAATCCAACAAGGAATGTCGACCTAACGGTGAACAAGTGATTCCGTTAAGTCTTAACGCCGTTAGTTTCGATAAAGCCGTAGGCTATTCGACTGACTGATAGACCCAAAGGTCAAAGAAATGCACCGAATGCCAATTTCCCACGAAAACACATTAAACGTGACGAAAAGATGGCACGAAAGACTAAATGCTTTTGGTCAATGTGATGTATATGAACATTTCAAGAACACACGCACAAAATAATAATAATGTTATTGTTATTATCATTATTATATACATATAGAAATGATATTTTCGTGCATGCACACGTAAATTATAAAGTCCTTCATCAAAAAAAAAAATTATAATATTATAAACTAAAACTGTCATGTGTATTTTTACTATTATGCCCTTATAATATATTTTTGGTTTGGGTGGTCGTGAGAGACATTATTTTAGGTGGATTAGTTTTTTCCATGTTTGTGTTTCGCCAAAACTTTGAGTTTGGTCGTAACTAAATTTGGAGGTCTTTGTCTTCACCTCTTCATTGTCTTCCATTCTTTTTTTTTTTTTTGAAAAACACCTGAAAATTCCAAAACTTGCAATTTGGCGGAAAATTAATTATTGAATTTATAGGTGTTTCTATTTATTTTCGAACTTGAAAAATTGGACACGATAATTTCTAAACTTATTTAAAAGTGTCATAATTATCCTAATACTAATTTTGATCAAAATAATGTGTTGAACAATCCTACGTGGCGCGTGAATCAAGGCACGTCAAACTTCATGTATGCTGAACTGGATTTAATAGACACGGTTTAACAAAACCGATTCGTAATAGTGAAAATTTTGGTTCATCGGGAGATCTGAGATAATGACGGAAATCGGAATAATTACCATCACTATCGGTTCTCGAGCTCTAGATCCAAATCGACGATGTCTCCGCCGAAACATGAGCGTTTGACGTCGAAATAACCGTCATCGGAGCTAGATCTCTTTCATTCCAGATTTTTCGGTGAGAACAATGTCGTCCAAGGCATACTTTTAAGTTCAGGAATTAGTTTTCCACCGAATTGCAAGTTTGAAAATTTTCAGGATTTTTTTTCTCTTTTTCTGCAAGACGAGTTCTATAAATTGCTATTACATTATTATTATTATTATTTATATGCTCAATAATCTCATTCGTTAATCCACCATTTGTTCATTAAGGCATGGCTTTGATAGTACCAAACACGGTTCCGTTTTCTTGCTCTGTGGAACCAAACAAGACTTCGATGTCTTTCCGTTCGGATTTTCTCTGTCCGATCACTTCGTCGAGGACCCAAAAAAATGCGAAAAAGTTTATAGCAAGCTACGGTTACGCTCCAGTTTCCACCCCCTTGGAAACTTCTAATGATCAAATCTCTGTAAACAGCGACAAATACATGCATGCATACATACATACATATATATATATACACTCTATCATCTTGTTTACTATTTGAGTACTGATTTATCTTCTTTGTTTCGTAGGATTATATATGCGTAGCGGATGAGGAGAAGATGGTTAAGAAGAAGCTAAGGAGTACACTGAGTGAAAAAGGAGAGCCTACGCTTGAGACATTGGAGATGGTCGATGCCATTCAACGTCTATCCATCGAACACCATGTTTTCATCGAAATTAAAGAGACCCTTCGAAAGCTTCACATGCAACGGCATAGATATAACTATCATGGCCGAGATCTTCGTGAAGTTTCCCTTTGCTTTCGCCTCCTGAGACAGGAAGGTTACCACGTTTCAGCTGAAAGTACGCGGCATCCGATTCGATATATTCTATATGATACGTTCGTTTAAGATAATATATAGTACTTGTATGACATATAAAAGAACTAGATTTGTCGAATCTTATATATGCATTGATGGTTTTGATCACATTAGGCCTGTTCGGAGATTTCCAAGACAAGGACAGAGGATTCAAAGGAGAGCTCGAAAACGATATAAAGGGTTTGTTGGAATTGTTTGAAGCTTCGCAACTAAGCATAGAAGGTGAAGATATACTCGAAAACGCCCGAGAATTCGCGGGTAATAACCTAGTAAGACTTTCTTTGATCAGAGAGAGTTATCAAGGACGGGTAATAACGGATGTATTGCACAAACCATACCATAAAACCTTATCAAGAATAACCGCCAAGCGATTCATCGAAGTGATCGATGTTGTCCACGGAGGAAAAGAGTGGTTGCAGTCCCTACTACAAGTGGCTGAGATCGACCAAAGCTTGCTAAAGACACTGCATCAAGAAGAAGCTTCTATAATTCTCAAGTAATGGAACATGATGATACTTCTCCAAGACATATACATACACACATACATACATACATATATATATATATATTACATTTATATCTTATTTTTGTTTTTCAGATGGTGGAGAGAGCTAGGCCTAACAGGGGAAGTGAGAAAGGCAAGAGACCAGCCTTTGAAATGGCACGCATGGACCGTTGCAGTCAACCAAGATCCAGGCTTATCACAGCTAAGGGTTGCCATGGCGAAAGTGATACCGCTTGTTTATATATTAGACGATATTTTCGACGTCTATGGTGGAATAGATGAACTCACCATCTTCACACAAGTTGTTGAGAGGTACCGCTCTTTTTTATTCCATTTTTTTAAATAAGAAAAAAACATGAAACTCATTTTTACAAACCCTAAATCTAGATGGAACTATGGTGACCTTGAGAAGCTACCGAATCACATGAAAGTGTTCTTCAAGACTCTAGACATGATCACGATGGAGATTAGCCACAAGATCTACAAAGAACATGGATGGAACCCAATCAAATCTCTTCAGAAATCGGTAACCGATTACTATCCCAAATGTTTTTGAACCTAAGACAAGATCATTGAATTCGTCTGATCCTCATATACGTTTTTTTCCCCTTTCGGCCAGTGGGCGAGATTGTGTGAAGCGTTCTTGGTGGAAGCGAGGTGGTTTGAATCGGGTTACTTGCCAAACAAGGAAGAGTATCTTGAGAACGGGATCGTGAGTTCAGGAGTACATTTGGTGATGCTCCACTTCTTTTATCTGTTGGGTGAAGAAATCACCGACGAGAAAGCGGAACTAATGGAGAATAACCCAAAGATCGTATCGTCGGTAGCTACAATTCTCCGACTTCACGACGATCTCGGAAGTGCAAAGGTTGTATGTATATATATATATATATGCATCATATTTCCGAATTTAAAATCAACTAATTTTCACAATAATATGAGTTTTACAGGACGAGAAGCAAGATGGGTTTGATGGATCATATGTGAGATGCTACGTGAATCAGCATCAAGGATCGACAGTTGAAGAAGCAAGAACACATTCCCTCCAGATGATTTCCGAGGCATGGAAGCGTTTGAACGAAGAGTGTCTGAATCCGAATCCATTCTCCGGTTCGTCCTTTGCCAAAGCTTGTCTCAACGTCGCAAGGACTGTTCCTCTTATGTACACTTACGACGGCGACCATCGTCTCCCCGGTCTTGATGATTATCTCAAGTCACTTGTGTCGGACAGGTTTAATCCATGTTAATTTGTTTCGTAAAGTCTAAACTTATATCTAGGACAATTTCAATTGTGATCCCAAAGTATAAAATCAAGACGTATATTGTGATACTCACATGTAACAGACAAAGTATAAAGTATAAAATCAAAACGAGTCATACAAGCAAAGAGATCTATTCATTGAAGAAAAAAAAACGTGAGCGGCGATTGGATTGATGATAAAATCGAATCCTAGGTTGCGAACAGTGATTCTATCGATGATAAAGAAGGGGAATTCTTCCTTCAGTTCTCCACCTTAAACGCATAAAAAAAGATTGATCAAATTCTATTGAGTCTAACTCATAGTGATCATTTATCAAATAATGACTATACCTGGGGGTGTGCATTTTGGGATCCGGTTCGAAATTTTAGCGATTCGATTCGTAAACAATTTATTCGGTATTCTAAAATTTGTATAAAATTAGTATTGTATATTATTCGGTTCAATTCAGTTTCAGTTTTGTTTTTTATTAAAAAAAATAGATTTTTTAAGAAAATTTCGATTTTTCAGAAATTTTATAAAATTTGTTTCGGTTTGGTTTTAAAAAATTCGGTTGTATAAAAAAAATATAGGATTTGAGAATTTTGAATAGTATGATTCGAAAAAAATATCGAGATTTTCGGTTTGATATAGTTCGATTTCTTGGACGCAAAACGAAAGGTCCATCCTACGTATGCCTAAGAACTCATCCATAAGTAGTGTCGATGTTGAGATTCTTCTTCATTTATAAACCCTATATATTTTAAAAAGAGATAGATCTAACCATTGTTATTTTCAGGTATATGTATCCTTTGCACCCGTGACTGGATTCTCCATTCACACTGTCTCTTAGCATGTGCAACTGGTGAAACCGAACAGAACCCCATAAATTTTGGACCCCACTTTTGAAAAATAATTAATACTAATAATTATAAATAAAATAAAATAAATCTAAATATAGAAGAAAAAAACCCTTTCAATTTTGACATTTATTCCTTTTGAAAAATATTGCTCCAATAAAATATTTTAAGCATAATTTTTTTTTTGATAACGGAGCGTCCTGGGCCGAAGCCCAGACTAATCTCCGGGTCGGGAGCAAGCCATGTGCTTTGAAATATTCGCTCTCCTCCCCACCCTGGGGCTCGAACTTGGGGCGGGACAAGTGTTTTGCACCACCATTTCACCAGTTGAGCTATCCAGGATGGGTTATTTTATTTTAAGCATAATTACTATACATTATTAATGAAATACATAAAATTATAAAACTAATTACCCTGAAGAAAATATTGTTATTGTTAACTTATTCTTAATTCAAATTCAACTTTAAATTAATTTTATCATTTTCAAAATATATCAATAATAAATTAACAAAAATTATTTTAAGATGAAGATGAGAATTTCTCATAAGTTGGGTTCATGATTCTAAAAAAAGAAAAATGCATTATTGTCAATTTGTCATTTGTTTTTTTTCTTTTTTGTAAAGTTTCAGTTATACGTTGGTTTATTTGTCTGTTTGTTTCCTCTGAACGTGCATCAATGCTAGTAACTAGGGATGTCAATCGTGATGGGTCCGGCCGGCCCGATCAGGTTTCGAACCGCACTCCATCCAATTATTTTGAGTCTAAATAACCAAAACCGAAGTTCAACCCTATCGATTTCGGGTTTTGGTTCGGTTCAAATCGGCCTGATAAATTTAATTTTTTATATTTTTTATTAAATTATATTTGAAAAACAATTCAGGCTTTCGAAATGATTTGAGCCCGATCCGAAAGTCTGAAAATTTTTGAATCTAAATATCTCGGTTCGTAGCTCATTATTTTTCGGACTGGGCAATACCGGATCTCAGACCAAAATTAACACCCCTACTAGTAACTACTAGTTATGTATGTGTATATATTTTGTTCAAACTCACTTTATCTGTATCATATATTTTCTGCGATCATAATATCTACGTCTACGTGTATGCTTTTTTTTATAATTGTGAATTTCATATATGCAAGATATAGTTACAATCGTGTCTACCTTTGGCGAATGAACCAGACAGAAAATAAAAGTAGCAGGATGTTACAACCATGCAAAGTAAGCAACAAGTCAATTAAATCAGAATATCTCAAAATAACGGAACCATATAAGCTTCTTCGTTTTTAATAATTAAGAGGTTCACCACCCTTCGACCCAGTTAATTCTCAGGCTCAGAATCAATCGTTAACGAAGATAAACCAATGGAATTAGCCCGTGGGGGTGTACGTAAAGTATGTGTTATGAATGGATGAGGAATAAAAGTTTGGTTTTCGAAATCAAAAGCAGAGAGGACAACGTGTTTGGTCTTTGAGAGGGATTTGGAGGAGAACAACATCATGGATCCATTAAATTTGACCATACTCCCAAACAATATCATTATCCATTCTTGATATCATCGAATTCGTTATTTCAACCTATCTTAATTTCGATCTTAATCTATTAATCTTTTATATAAGATCGGTCTCTTTTTTATTTGTATGTTCAAAAACGCAACCACCATAATACCCAATAAGGAAAAAAAATGCTTATTTTATTTTTATATCGTTGGTGTTGGCGTAACACCCGAACTCTATATTTGTGGACCGTGCAATGCCATTATCCCATGCATCCCCACGATCACAATGACATGTCATCCCCGACATGTTGGTTTGTCTCGCGATTTATATATCACGGTCGGACCGTTTTGGCCAACCAACCAACCTAATAAATTGTTCGTAAATTAAAACGTTTCATGTAAACAAGTTTTGCCTACTGAACGAGACCTAAATGCACGACGAAACCTGGCATGTTGTTATATTATTTGAATAGATTATAAATTTTTAAATTGCATTAACGATGACCTTTGATTAATTAGATGTGAATTATTTTGTTTAAATAACAACAATTAAATAAAAAAATCTATCATGTAGTTCATTTATCTTTGTTGGGTATATAAATAGTTGTGTATATTTACATGCACATTTATATCTAAAAGCACCGTTATGAAGCATTATATTTCCATTCACTCACTCACTACCAAATATTTACATAATATGGTGGCATGATATGTTAACGTGCATTTACAGACATCTATAGAGGGATATGAAAGATATTTTTTTTGTGTGTTCTATTAAATATCGCATATGATTTCTGTGTCATGAACACATTTTTCAGTAATGTTGAAAATAAACCGTACGTAATTATTTTTTTTCTATGTTGTGCTTTTTTTAAAAAAAAAAAAACTAAACCTCATTGTATCTCGGCAATATATACTTTGATAAAATCCGAAACAATTTTGTGTGGGAGCAAAACATACTCTTTAAAAAACGTTGATCCATATCAGATTCGTGCCTCTAGATTTTTCATGATTTTGTGTTCGTTGCGTGTGTTTGTGTTTATTTCTTATAATTTTTTTTTCGAAACTATCTTTCTCTTTAATTTCCCCTAATATATATATATATAGATAGATATAGATATAGATATATATATTATATTAAAATTGAAATGTCCCCATATAAAAACATTAAAATTATATTTGCCCCCTTTTAAATATATTTTTAGGTCCGCCACTGATTGCATGAAGTTTTTTTCGTGATTTATTTAGGGTCTAAAATCATATTTAGCGGCTTTGGCCTAGGAACCACTACAAATTGAGATGCACGCATGTCACATCTGTTTCAGCAATGAATTAAATTAATTTCCTCATTAGGAATGAGGTGTGTCCCTGCCTAGCTAGTTATTCCCACCACCAACTTAATGCTTCTTGAAAACCCTAACCCTAATGTTTTTTTTTTGGTAAAGGTAAACCCTAACCCTAATGTTATTTACGCTAACGGCACAATATATAATTAACGACCCAATATCGCTCCCTATATTCCGAAGAAATTTATAAGATTGAAGGTATTTGTAACCGTAGACAATGATCAAGACATGGAAGAAAATGGTTTGATCATTGAAGAGAGAATAGAAAAGGAGTGAGTGAATAATACGTTTATTGTGTATTAAAACTTACAAAAGATGATTACAAATATATAAGAGTCCTAGATATTCGGGAGATATGCCAGATATGCCAAGATCTCGGATTATTCTGCAACAACCAAATTAAGGAAACATTGCATTGACGTTGCTGGATTCTTGGACGCTACATAACTGTATTTCCTTATCTCAATTCTAGGTTAGATCTGATTTGTCTGTATATATACCCTGTAAACAACTCTATCAATACACAGAAAACATTTCATCTTCGAATCGAGCTGATACGTGTTATGGTATCAGAGCCCGAAAACTGAAAACACGAATCGAAACTCTGCTCCTTCATGAATTCCGAATCTGCCAACGAACACTCGACCCCCGAATCGACGACCCCGACTCAGTCTCCGATCATGGCTCAAGCACCACCGACCACCGACAACATTTTCCCCCGGCGAACGATCTCTCCCTACGACCTCACTCCGAGCGACAATCCAGGTCTTGTGCTTTCGCAGCCCCTGCTTCGTGGTGACAACTACGACGAATGGTCAGTCAACATTCGACAAGCTTTGAAGTCTCGAAAGAAATTCGGATTTGTCGATGGCTCAGTTCCGAAACCGAGTCTCTTATCGCCAGATTTTGAAGATTGGGATACCAACAACGCTCTCATTGCGTCTTGGATCAAGAACACCCTCGAAACACACCTTCGATCCGATGTGGTTCATCGGGAATTTGCTCAAGACCTTTGGGACTACTTGAAGCGTCGATTTGGGAAGACAAATGCTCCTCGTCTTCACAAAATACGCAGCGATCTGGCTAACTGTCGTCAACAGGGGATGACAATTGAAGCTTACTTTGGAAAACTCACCAAATTGTGGGACGATTTGGCGAATTTCCGATCTCTGAAACATTGCAAATGCAACATGTGCATCTGTGATATCGGCACGACACTTGAGAAGGAACGAAACGAAGACCGTTTATATGAATTCCTGATCGGACTGGATGACTCACGATATGGAACTGTTCGCTCGAATCTGCTCTCTCGTCTGCCACTTCCGACACTTGAAGAGGCGTACAATATCGTTTCTCAGGATGAAGCTGCGAAACAAATCACTCAGATACAGGCGGATACCTCGGAACTTGCTGTTTTCTCTGTTCGCACAAATCCGAAGCCTC